ATTTGCACAGGACACAAAAGGAACGCAAGATGTCAGCCTTAAAACTTACCCCTAAACATTAAATAATTTTAAAAAAAAAGTTAAAAAATTCCCACCCAACCAATACATTCCTTTAGCTTTACTCCTACTCAAAAACCCAAATAAAATGTTCCCCCAAAAATAAAACACCTCTCTCACTAAGTCCTCATCATTCTGTTTGTACACATCATTTCATATAATCCTCCCTTTTCTTTCTTCTCCCACAATCAAAAAGCTTTCTGCAGTACTCTACTCTCTCCCAACTATGAGCTTCCCTCCTTCTGCATCCGGCGCGATGAAAGCGGTTCGAGGAAAGCTACATTTTCCTGTTGTCATGGTCTGCGCTATCGCCTTTATCAGTCTCCTCTACGCCGAACGAACTAGCATCAGGCTTTCCTCCAACCCTTTTTTCAAAATTAAGTCATGTTCCAAACCCGAAGCCATTACGAAAAATAGTAAGTCCAAATAACTATTGATTTTTCTTTTTCTTGTTGAGATTTTTTTCCAACAAAGATTTCCTAATTGATTTTTGTGGTCACCAATCCCTACCAAACAGAAAACAGAAACGCTACCGAGGATAAGTTAAGGGATTCCATATTAGATGATAGGGATAAGTTAAGGGATCCCATATTAGATGATAGGTTTGCTTTCGACCCCGAGGAGTGCAGCGTTGAGAATGGAGAGTGGGTGTTCAACCGTTCGATCAAGCCTCTTTACTCGGATAGAAGTTGCCCGTATCTTGATAGACAAGTTTCGTGTGTCAAGAATGGACGTCCGGATTCTGGCTATCGCTACTGGCAATGGCAGATTGAAGATTGTACATTGCCAAGGTTGACAACTTACAATGCATGTCAAAACACATCTATGCAAGTTTGTCCAGACTAAAATGTTGATATATTTATTGGGAGATATTATTTACACTCCAAAAAAATCATCTTACATCTTCCCGATTTCTAAAATTAAAGGGAGGTCGAGTGCATAATGACTATTTCGGAGTGGTGATAGTATGCAAGTTTATGTATTTATATATACTCAATTACTGCATGAACTATTGTTTTTCTAACAGGTATTTGTTTCCAAGTTTATATGTAGATTTGATCCAGAAGTTACACTTAAGAAACTCAGAGGAAAGAGACTACTTTTTGTTGGGGATTCTTTGCAAAGAGGTCAATGGCAATCTTTAGTCTGTATGGTCGAATCCATCATACCCAAGAACCAAAAATCCATTCAACGAGGGCGGTCTCATACAGTCTTCAGAGCCAAGGTATCTTATAATTCCTAGTCTTTGCTCAGTTGAACCAACGATTAAACAAAAGAGATGAAGCTAATCGAAAGTTTTCCTTCTTCAGGAGTATAATGCTACTATTGAATTCTATTGGGCGCCATTTCTGGTTGAGTCCAATTCTGATGAACATATAATAGGAAATCCAAGGGAAAGAATACTAAAAGTGGATTCAGTTGCCAAGCATGCGAAATACTGGACAGGAGTAGATATCCTTGCGTTCAACACTTACGTTTGGTGGATGAGCGGCTACACGATCAAATCATAGTAAGTTTCTCACAGAATATGCATAAATAGAGTCGGTTACTAACTTCTAACAAATAATAGAAAAAGAGTGACATTAAAACAATGAAGGGCACTAAAGAGTGCTTTATATACGGCTTATTGTCTATTTAGTTAACCTGTTCTGTTATGATTAAAAGTCATGACCCGTTCTATTTGTGCATATTTTTCAAGAAAATTAACTATGCCAATGGATCATTGTCATTTTCTTTTCGGTTTAAGATTGATCAATTGAGCAACAATGTGTAACTGAACAGCTGGGGATCGTTTCCAAATGGTGAAGAAGGGTATGAAGAATTGGATGCACCAGTTGCCTACAGAATGGCGTTGAAGACCTGGGCAAACTGGGTCGACTTAAATATCAATCCGAACAAGACTCGTGTTTTCTTCACTACTATGTCCCCTACACACATGAGGTATCTCTCTCTTATAGACAACTTGTTATGATTAAGCACAAGATAAAAATTGAATGTTTTCACTAATTACTTGAGTAACAAGTTAAATCTCTAATTCTACAGAAGTGCAGACTGGGAAAATCCAGATGGGATCAAATGCTTCAACGAAACAAAGCCGTACATGAAAAAGGGATTCTGGGGAACTGGTTCGGACAAGAGGGTCATGCGCGTGGTGTCCGAAGTAATCCGCAAAATGAAAGTTCCGGTTTCAGTACTTAATGTAACGCAGATGTCAAATCACAGAGTTGATGCTCACACAAAAGTTTACACCGAAACCGGAGGCAACCTACTAACTGATGAACAAAAGGCTGATGTGCTGCACAATTCAGATTGTATACATTGGTGCCTTCCTGGAGTTCCAGACGCATGGAATCAAATTTTTATGGCACATTTGTAGCGCTACGAACCACATGTAAATCTGCAGCGCTATCAAACAACAAGAGGCGGAACAATCGAAAGTAACACGTTTGTACTTTCTGTTCAAGTTCTTGTCTCATTTTTTTTTTTTTTCAATTGTAATGAATTGAATTTGTACAGCAAAAGCTGCTGAAGCAACTTGTTAGTTTCTTCAATGTTCTTGTGTTTTGGTAACATAATGCTGCAATGTAGCAAATTCTAATTTATAAAATAAACTAGGTCATGGTAATTAGTCTGGAGGACTTACCAGTTACCCCCCTTGACAGGACGGGGGATGTTTACCGTTGTAAGTTGTAACAGGAGCAGGTTAATTTTTGGCTGATTTGCCATGGTAAATTGCCCTGCAAGTCATGTTTCACAACATTAAACAGAGGTAAACTAAACAATCCAACCGTCCAAATTCGTACCATCGACAATCCTAATACCATCGCCTCCTCGCGTGCTGACACATGATGAAGTGCTCCGAAAGTACGGGCTGTATACATACTTATTAAGAATATATGTTTGTTTCTTAAAAAAATAAAATAAAATAAAAAGAATACATTATAGTTGCATGACAATTAAATGTTAAATAAGTATTAACTAGATATAAGAAGATTAGCAATTTTTTCATCAACCATCTCTTTATCTCTATGATCTTCCTCATGTCCAGGCGGAAGTAGCTCATCATCATCATCACAAGGTTGGAACTCTTGATCTGTCATGGAATGATTTCTGATAAAATTATGCAAGGCCATTGAAACAACAACAATTGTTACCTGTTTTTCAAAAGAGAAGTTACGCATGAGACAAATCATTGTCCATCAATTTTTCCAAACACCAAAAGTTCTTTCTATTGTGCACCTTAGGTATGAATGCCTCTGATTAAATATCTCTTTTATCCCTCTTGGCTGACTTCCACGTCGAAACTCAAGAAGATGATATCGTTCACCCCTATAAGGTCTAACAAGGGCAAGATTCCTAATGGGGATCTTCATATTATCATGGAAGTTGTAATAATCTATATGCATGTTCGACTAATAATTAGTTATGACCTGTGGGCTAATAATAATCTATATGTATGTTCAACTCAAAGGATATGAAACCTTTTTGTTTGAATGACTTTGTGTATTGCGTTACTATTTTCAAGATCCATATAATGCTATAGATAATAATAAGAGGCCTTTCTTTTCTCTTAAACAGGGTGATGTTTAAAGATCCATATATTCATGGGACACTTATTCTCCATCAACAGGAGGCCAAAGGTTTGGTTTATGTTTTCTCCTTTTTGTTTCAATTTTGAGACCATATTTTATTGCTTTTGAGTCAATTCATGACGATTTCGACAAAAATCATATAGAATCAATAAAATTCTCACACTACATACAAATTTATGATAAGAAGTAACATACATACCTTCACAAAAATTTCAGGTTATGAAGATGTAGAGAGATTTGGGAAGATGGAGAGGAAGAGATGGAGACCAAGTGGACTGCTCTAGCCCCCAAAATAATCTGAAAATAAAAAAACCTTTTGGGGTTTCAATGTGCAACCCTAGAAAAAATTGGTGATGGTAGTTTTGATGATTTTATAAAGTGGAATGGCATTTTAGACTTTGCAAATTAAAAAATAGGGATAATTTTAGAATTGAAAAAAATTCATTAAGGGGAGCAAAGTGTTTTCCTTGTTTACCTCCTAGGTGCTTCTTAGTGCTTCTATTTCTAACTAAAAACACTTTTTAAATGTTTGCCAAATAATCATTTTTTAAAACTAATACGTTTTTACTTATTAGGAATCGCTTTTTACTATTTCAAAAGCACAACCACAACCAAACGATCCTTTATTCGACAGAAAGGGTACCTTGACTGTTAACTTGGCATACCAACAAAAGTTTGTGGGCTGTTTTCAGGCCTAGTATTTTGTGGCTTCTTCAACATGCTACCAGAGAAGTGTGGAATATACAATTCATATGGCTTGATAGAGAGAGAGAGAGAGAGAGAAGGCGGCTGCATATTTGGGTGTGGAAATCACTGATGTTCATGAAGAAAAGTTCTTATCTTCGTTGGTGTACTTTCTTGCCTGTTTGTTATTTGTTCTGCACACAATCTTTCATGTAATAGTTGACGAGTCCAAATAACTTACATACAAGTACAATTTCTAAAATTTTATCAAGTGAAGTCACATGACTACCATGTTAGGCATTGTGTGTACGAGATGGGTTTTATTAGCACATAATAATGTGTGATTGACTTGTATTTTCATCACTGTAATACTCTATTATATATTTCATGTAAGTTTTTTGCCTGCACATAAAACACTCGTTTTGTCACAAAATTGATCTTAAAAGTAAATTGAAGTACAACCGTATTTCAACTCGAAAAAAATTGCCTGGTTAATACAACTATGACATGTTTTACTAATTCTTAACCGAGTGAGAAAGAAATGAATTGAAGAGAGTTAAATTAAAGTTGTTTAATAAATTATTTAAAATGCAAGTAATGAATTGCTCAATTTTTCGTTTTCAATCTTTGCAAATTAATACTGATTATTTCCCAAAAAGGTTAGTATGAATTTAGGCCGTGGGCCTAGGGCCCAAAGAATAGAAGATTGTTGCATACTCCATTTGACTGCGGCTCAAAGCCACCTCCCCATTCATCTCTCGGGGGGATTTGAGAAGCGACGCGAACGTCTGATCGCCAACACTGTTCAGGTAAAATTCCCCCCAAAAAAAATTAGGGTTCTCTCAATCCCCAAACACATTAGGGTTTAAATCCAAATCCCAATCCCAATCAAAATTCGTTCAAGTTTCTCAATTTTACCTACAAATCAAACCTGAGGCTTATGCTATCGGGTTTAGTCGAATCTCTCGCCCCTCTTCTCTATGAATCGAGTGCGAATTTTCTCTCTTTTTGGTCAGGTGACGTAAGCAAGCAGCCATGGCGGGCGGTGGGAATTTCATGAACAGAGTCGTGTCGTACCTCGTCAATGAGCTTCTGGTCGATAGCCTCGCCAACAGGTACTTTGTCTCGATACTTTTGAATCATTGATCCTATTTGATTGGGTTTGATTTGTTGAAAGCTTCATTCTCTGGCCACACGGAACTCTCCGTTCCCGACTGGCTCGTTCCCTTGAAGCAAAATTAAGCCAAAGCTTTGATTTTGCTCTCATCTGTGGCGCCAACAGTTTATGGCGCTTCGGCTTTGCATGCTTTGAGGAAACGTTCGCCACAAGAGAATGATCTTTTTGCTGTATTTCAATTTTCTGTGATAGGGAGTGTGTTTTGTGTGGTGGGAATTTTTTTTTTTGGTTTGATTGTTCACGCTGATGAATATTGAGCTAGTCGGACATTTAGCCCATCTGATAGGATAAGGTATTGGTGTTGTTTGAGTGTTCGCGTGCTGATGACTGTTGAGCTAGTGAATTAAGCTTCTCAATAAGCCGTCGGGACGTTAGATTCCTGATTGGTTGCTCCCAAAAGCAAAATAAGTTCAAAGCTTTTGAAAATCTGCAGTGTAACGGTAAACATCGAAATTTCGGTGAAATAAATGTTGACCAGCATATTAAAGTTTCGACGTGCTTGGGTATACATGACATGCGCTGCGTGTCGCACAAATTGTACACATAACGTGACTCAATAAAATCGGACGAATCACCTCATATTGAGAAGTGGTGTGGTGTGGCGCACCCCTACCTATGAAAATGAGTGCATGAAGAGTATCAGAAGAAATGCCCTTGGAGATGGCAAAATCTAAAGCTAAGGTGGAGATTGTTAGATAGATGGCTTCCAATAATGTCATTATTGATTAAACAAGTTTTTCTCATTATGGGCAATGACGAGGTAAGTACACTTCAATTTTAATATTGTATTAAGTGGAAAAATTAGGCCACAAAAATAATGCTCGAATGGAAAGAAAAATTGTGGTGATGATTCATTCTCAAAGCCTATAAATAAACTTCTTCATCAAAGTATCAGTCATCCTAAAATTATATATTCGAAGCAAAGCATTTTTGGCTTCTCTAGTTTCTTTAAGGTAATCGTTCGTTCAAGATCAGGTCATTGTGATCATTGGATTAACAACACATCACAAGAACCACCAAGTATCTCTACACGTGCTGGTTCCTCCATTGCCAAGAGCCAAAACCTTGCGGCCCTTGTTCATCAAAAATCAAGTCATTGCGACCCTTGGATCAACAAAACTATACATCTGCACCTTTCAGAGATTGAATCAAAAGATCAAGTTGTAAATAGATTATAACCCTACAAATTCATTAACACAAAATTTACTTTATAAACGTATTCTTGTTTCATTTGTCGTAGAAACTTGCAGGAAGCCGCCACTAACTGCAGAAACTTATAGGAAGCCACCACTAAATGCAGAAATTTGCAGAAAGCCGTCACTAATTGCAAATTCGCAGAAAGCCACCACCAGCTGTGAGCACAGGTGAAAGAACTTTCGTCTAAACAAGAAGGAAATCCACTAATGTGCTAACAACAGATACAAAAAAAATAAAAAATAAAAACAAAAAAAATGATGGTGTCGTGGGTGGATATGTATACATTGAATGAAATAAAACTTATTTATTGATATGTCTAAGAAATTATAGATATATGCATACACGAGTTAAAACAAACAAACATGAGGGAGCCTTCATAAAGGTTGCTCATGTGAAATCTCAGTACTTGGTGGAACTTCAGAAAGAAGAGATACGAAAGGTTGATTATTTGGAGCTTCAATACTTGGTAAAACTTCAAATGACGAAGGCAATAGGTGCTTTTAAGATAAAGCCACAAATCTCTAATGATCACTTTGAATCTGACTTTCGGATTCTTGCAGTTGGTAAAGCTTTCTTTTCATGCTCGTTGAGTAATTGCGTGCAAGTATGTGCAACTCTCTATTTTCATGCTTAAGCCCTCTGATCTCCTGTCTAAGATTTCACACCTCAGCTATCAATGATTCAAGTTGGCGAGTTCGAGCAAGTAGGTGTTGACCCATATTGGATACAGAACCCACACATTGAACATTGAAAGTCAAAGAATCTTGAATAACCAATTCATTGGACCGTTTTGAAAGGATCATGTTTTCCTTGGGAGAGAAGATTCCTAGTTACCGCTGTAGTTGTTATGTTATTCATCATAGTGTCCCCAACTGTAAGATGACCATTAGCGGATAAGAAGGATGGGTGTCATATGCTATCTTGAGGAGACATGTCTGCATCTTCCACAACATTCAAGTGAAAACGACAATCAAATGGGCAAACCATTTTCAGAAATGATGAAGGAAAAGGATGTCGGATAAATCTCAGAAGTGTAAAAGGGGAAAATTTCTACAGGCAGCAACTTTTTTAGCTTGCCTTTTGAATACAATCGATGCCTCTATAAAAGAAGAGGCAACAAGGCCACTTGTTTAAAAATCGAAGAGGCACCACTCTTTGAATTTCAAAAGTCAGATTTTCCTAAATAAAGTTCGTTGTCACTTTTCAAACGAAATTTCAGCTTTTCGGATATCATGTGCAACTTTGTCAAAGATCTCTGACAAAGTTGAAACGCATAAATTTTGCAGTTCCAATTACATCACTATTATCGACAAGAGTAAAAGAACAACACCACTATTTGCTATTGGAAAATTCCTATATGTGTTGACATCAGAAGTGCAAAAATGGGAAATTTTTACAAGTAGCAACCTTTCGGGCGTGCTTTTTGAACACAATCAATGCCTCTATAAAGAAGAGGCAACAACGGTACTTGTTCGAAAATCGAAGAGACATCACTTTATAGGCTTTGAGAATGAATCTCCACCACAATTTTTCTTCCCAGTCGAGCACCATTTTTGTGGCCTAACTTATGGTTTAATTTTTCCACTTAATACAATATTAAAATTGAAGTATGCTTGTCTCGTCATTGCCCATAATTAGAAAAAATTTGTTTAATAAATAATGGCATTATTGGAAACCATTTATCTAACAATCTCCACCTTGGCTTCAAATTATGTCATCTCCAAGGGTATTTCTTTCGATACCCTTCATGCACCTTTTTTAAATTTGTAAACATGAGAATCCAGTGATAAATGAAATAAGAACACATGTACAAAGTAAATTTTGTGTTAATGAATTTGTAGGGTTACAATCTCTTTACAACTGATCCTGTGACTCTTTAACACTCTTTTTACGTGATGACTTGATCTTGGATGAAGTAGTGGTGCTGTTACTTTATTCTTGCCAGTAATAGTGATGTAGTTAGAACTGCAAAATTCATGCGTTTCAACTTTATTAGAGATCTTTGATAAAGTTGCTCGTAATATCCGAAAAGCTGAGATTGCGTTTGAAAAATAACAATAAACTTTATTCAGGAAAATCTAGCTTTTGAAATTTGGAGAGTGGTGCCTCTTTGATTTTTGAACAAGTGGCTCTATTGCTTTTTTTTTTTTCTCAAGGCATCAATTGTGTTCAAAAAACACGCTCAGAAAGTTGCTATCTGTAGAAAATTTTCTTTTTTGCACTTTTGAGATTTATCTGACCTCATTTTCCTTCATCATTTCTAAAAATGGTTTGCTTATCTGATCGTCGTGTTGACTTGAATGTTGTGGAAGATATAGACATGTCTCCTCAAGATGACATATGGCATCCATCATTCTTATCCGCTAATGGTCCTTTTACAAAATGAAAACTCTGTGATGAAGAATAACATAACATAATCGCTATAGTGGTAGCTAGGAATCTTCTTATTCTTAAGGATAACATGATACTTTCAAAACGGTCCGATGAATTGGCTGTTCAAGGCTTTCTAGCTTTCAGTGTTCAGTATGCGGACACTGTATCTAATATGGGTCAAACGCCTACTTGCTCGAACTCGCTAAGTTGAATCATTGATGGCTAAGGTGTGAAATCTTAGACAAGAGATCAGAAAGCCCAAGCATGAAAATAGAGAGTTGCACATGCTTGCAAACAATTACTCAACAAGCATGAAAACAAAGTTTAACCAACTGCAAGAATCCGAAAGTCGGGTTCAAAGTGATTAACAGAGGTTTGTGGCTTTATTTCAAATGTATCTATTGTTTTCGTCATCTGGAGTTTTACCCAGTATTGAGGCTCCAAATAATCAAACTCTGATGCTTTTTTTTTTTTTCTGGAATTCCGCCAGGTATTAAGGCGTCACATGAGTAACCTTTGTGAAGGTTCATTCCTGTTTGTTTGTTTTAACTTATGTGTATGCACATATCTGTAATTTCTTGGAGATATCAATAGAATAAATTTTATTTCATTCAATGTATATATATCCACCCACGACACCATCACTTTTTTTTTTTTTTTTTTTAATCTACTGTCAGGGGAATTTCCTTGCTGTTTTGACAAAGGTGTTTTCACCCGTGCTCACAGTTAGTGGTGGCTTTCTACGAATTTGCAATTAGTGGCGACTTTCTGCAATTAATAGAGGCTTCCTGTAAGTTTTTGCGACGCATGTTGATGTTGTCACAAGGGAGTCATCGGATTGCATGCATCGCCTTTGCCTGCGAAGATGAGGACACTGTTGCCTATGAGGACGAACCGATGTGACGACAAGTTGTGATGTAATTGTGATGACAAGCTTTTGATGCCGCTGCTGGCTATCATTCTACTCATTTTCACTTGCCTTATTTGCCCCCCAGCTAGAAGTGGTAGTTTCTTTAGTTGAAGTTTTCTCCCCAAGATGATGTATCATTTGCACTTATGGTTGCATCGTCTCTGAAACTCTCTGCTTCACATTGCTCTTGCCGCTTGCTTGTTCATGGGAAAACACCAATGCATTGAAGACATTGGAGCTCATGATTCAGCGATATGGCTTCAAGGACATAGTTTTTTAAGCAGCGTCTTCAGTGTATTTTTTTTTTTATTGCCTTTGTAATAAAATTGACTTTCATTAGTCAAACCTTTAACAAACCCTTTTTTTCTTTTTTATGTGACTAAACATGAAGTTAAATGTTCGAGATGTCTACGTACCCTTAATTGGGGAGGGATCAAGTCATCACGGAGTTCAAATATGTTTGTTTTATATATATATATATATATATATATATATATTTTTTTTTTTTTTTTTTTTTTTTTTTGTGTGGTGCCGTACGCAGTTTATGCTCTTGCGGGCTAGGAGCATGTCTTTTTCCCGGGCATAGTATCGCTTCAAGAACTTGCCGTTTATGGGGCCAATCCTCAAGCCATCTTCCTCATCGATCTTGTAAGCACTGTTTGTGTAGACCTCTTGTACTACGTAAGGTTCATCCCACTTTGAGGTGAATTTGCTTCCCATCTTGTGTGTTGTGATGATAGGCTTACGCAATGCAAGGACGTGATCTCCCATTTGAAAAAAATGAGGGTGAACTTTCTTGTTGAAGGCCTTGGAGAGTCGTGCTTGATAACACTCCAAGTGCTACTGAGCTTTGAGCCTTCTCTCATCCAATGCTTCCAACTCTTGAAGACTTAACTTTGCATTCTCTTTATCAATCAAGCCTTCTTGTATAGCCATCCTTAGTGAGGGAATTTGGCTTTCCAACGGCAAAACAGCCTCCACATCATACACGAGCGAATACAGCGTAGCTTGAGTAGGCATCCGATGCATCGTCCAGTATGCCCAAAATGCTTCGCTTACTTTCTCGTGCCAGTCTCTCTTGGTCCGGCCAACGACCTTCTTCAAGAGGTTGCATATAGTCTTGTTGAATGCTTCCGTGAGAACATTGGATGGGGTGTGATACATCGAAGATTTGTGCTGTTTGAATTTGACTTCTTGCAAAGCTCGTCCATTAGGCAATTGAAGAACTACTTCCCATTGTCCGTAATTATGTAATGAGGCACACTATATCGGTGAATGATATAAGCCTTTATGAAATGAACCACGGTCTCCTTCTTTACTTCCTTTAATAGGATAGCCTCCACACACTTGGAAAAATAGTTCGTCACCGCCAAGATGTAGGCTTCCCCCGTAGACGACTTGGTGAAATTGGTCCAACGACATCCAAACCCCATGCATCGAAAGGCCATGAGGTAACAATCGGGTGTAACGATTCTGACGACTGATGTATGAAGTTGGCATGGAATTGGCAAACTTTGCACCTCTTTGCATAGTTAAGGCAATCCTTCACCATGGTCGGCCAATAATAGCTCATTTTCTTCAGTTGGAAATGCAGCTTAGGTTCGGACTAATAAGCTCCACATATTCTTGAGTGAGCTTCCTCCATTGCCTAGCTAGCCTCTTCTTCTTCCAAGCATCTAAGAAGCACTCCTTAAAAAAAATGCCGATAAAGTGTCTCCTTGTAGTAAAGGAAGCGAGGTTCTCGTTGTCTAACTTCCGTGCAGTGCCTAGGATCGTCTGGTAGCTTTCCATGATCCAAGTAGTCAGTCAATGGTTGCCTCCACTCTTCTATATCAACAGGAAACACGAAGATGATATTTGCATCTTCCAATGGTAACTCGATGATGAACGGGATCACCCATTGTTGGCAAACCGGAATGTTTACAGTTTCTCCTTCTCTCAGCACTATTCTTGAAGCCAAGTTGGTGAGAGCATCTGCCATTTGGTTCTCCTTCATTGGAACGTGCTCTAGTGTGGCTGCATAGAACCCTTGAAGCACTTGTGTAGCCACCGATAGTATAGGACAAGATCATCACTTCTTACTTCATATTCAGTTAAGAGCTGATTAATCACTAGTTTAGAATCCCCATACACCTCTAGATCGGGATCTTCATCTCTACTACCATTTGGAGTTCAATGATCAAGGCTTGGTATTCTGTGACATTGTTGGAACATAGCTCACTTAGGCAAAAAGAGTAAGGTAAAACTTGTCTTTGTGGTGATACAAACACCACGCCTATCCCTGCTCCATCCGCTCATGTTGACCCATCAAAGAACATCATCCATGCTGGAAAGAGATCGGCATAGAACACTTCTTCATCTGGTAGGTCATCTGAAATGTCCCAATTGGCTGGGATCGGGTGGTCTGCCAAGAAGTCTGCTAGAGCTTATCCTTTGACGGCCTTTGCCAGGATGTAGACTGGCTTTGACATGACATATTTAACTGGGTCGACTCGTGCAATTAAGTGTATAGTGTATGTGTGCATGTAATGTCTGAGCTTCTGGATGGCAAACACAAGGGCAAGGACATTTTTTCTATCTGGGAGTAGTTCAACTCGGCACTAGTGAGAGTCCGATTAAGATAGTAAAGCACTCCTTCTTTATGAGATTCATTCTCTTGTGCTAATAGTGCTCCAATTGAACTTTCCTGAGCGGCGATGTATAATATAAACGGTTTTCCGGGCATGAACACCCCCAAGACAGGTGGACTTGATAAATACCTTTTTATGCTTTCAAAGGCATTGTGGCAGGCTTCGTCCTACATGAACGGAACATCCTTCTTCATGAGTCGACTGAACGGTTGACAACGTCCTGCCAGGTTGGAGATAAAACGTTTGATGAAGGCAAGCCGTCCTTGCAAGCTTTTTAACTCACGTAGGTTCCTTGGCTCTAGCATACTTTGGATGGCCTTGATTTTGGATTGATCAACCTCGATGTTGTAATGTTTGACGATGAAGCCGAGGAACTTACTTGACATAACACCAAATGCGCACTTCAATGGGTTCTTCTTGAGGTTGTATTTTCATAGCCTGTTGAACACTGTTCACAAATCCATCAAGTGATCCTATCTTTTTTTGGTTTTGACCACCATATCGTCGATGTATCACTCAACATTCTTGTGAAGCATGTCATCAAAGATTTTCTGCATGGCATGTTGACACGTCGCTCCAGTATTTTTTAGGTCAAAGGGCATCACTTTGTAGCAGTAGATACCCTTTGGGGTGAGAAACGCCGTTAACTCGTGCCATTCTTATTTGGTTGTAACCAGAATAACTGTCCATGAAAGATATGGCTTTGTGGCTTGTGGTCACGTCCACCATGATTTTAATGATTGGGAGAGGAAAATCATCTTTCGGGCAAGCATCGTTCAAGTCACAGAACTCCACGCAAACCCGGATTTGTCCCGATTTCTTAAGAACAATGACAATGTTTGAGATCCACCTAGGGTATTGTACTTCTTGAATGAAACATGCCTCAATCAATTTATCAATCTTAGCTTCAATTTGGGGGATGAGCTCCAATCGGAAACGCCTCTGAGCCTATTTCACTGGTCGTACCCTCGGGTTGACTGCGAGGTGGTGTACAGCGATGACGGGATCCAGACCTGGCATCTTTTTGCATGTCCATGCGAAGATGTCTTTGTACTCCAGCAACAGTTTGTGGTATTCCTCCACTTCGTCTGGATTTAATAGTGCACTAACGAAGATAGGCGTTGGTTCTTTGCTTGTGCCCAAATTGAGTTCTTTCAAGTCATCAACAGTTGCTTGCCCTTTGTCTTCGAGGTACGATGTAGCTTCTTTGATGCCATTGACTTTGAAGTGTGCTTGGATTTTTTGAACGGAGAAAGAGATGAGAGGTAGAGATTGTCCCATTGGGCGTGCCAAATTTGTAAACACAAGAATCCTGTAACAAATGAAACAAGAACACGTGTACAAAGTAAATTTTGTGTTAATGAATTTGTAGGGTTACAATCTCTTTACAACTTGATCCTCTGATTCTATCTCCGAAAGGTGTAGATGTGTAGTGTTATTGATCCAAGGGTCGTGATGACTTGATCTTGGATAAACGAGGGCCACAAGGTTTTGGCTCTTGGCAATGGAGGAACGGGCACATGTAGAGGTGCTTGGTGGTTCTTGTGATATAGGGGTTGTTAAGTCACACGCCATGTGATATAGGTTTCGGTGAATATGTTAAAATATTCTCAATATGAGGTGATTCATCCGATTTTGTTGAGTCACACGCCATGTGTACAATTTGTGCGACACATGGCGCATGCCATGTATGTCCTAACAGCTCAAAACTTTAATGCGTTGATGAACATTTATTTCACCGAAATTTCGATATCTACAGTAACATTTGAATCACTGCCGCTTTGGAGGGTTGAGAATATTTTAACATATTTCTGGGTGTTACTGTAGGAAAGGATTCTATTCTTTTAATGTTCTTTTCGTGGTGTTTTACTTTATGGTTTGATGCATTCTGGACATTGATGTGGAGATAACTATTTACGCTACTGGCGATGCATAATGGTTTGAATTGACTGGACCCCGGAAGATTTTTCTTACCGATTTCTTTAGTTGTTAAATACAGCTGCTTTTTGGGGCCTTTAGGATGATTTGCTTCCTGAATAATTTGCACCTTTAGAGAAAAATTTTCTTGATCTTTCAGTGCCAGTGATGACTCTGCGTAGGCTTGTAATGATGTCAGATATGACTGCAAGATTTAAAAAAAAAAAAAAAAAAAAAAAAAAAAACCAAAGAGATGAGACCTTTTTCTATCTTCTTGGAAATTATGTTCTGCATTCTTTGGATGAGGAAAATCAGGTCTTAGGCTTCGTTTTTTTTGTTCATCTCTTTCTCGATTTTTAGTTTTCTCCACTTCTTGTTATATAATATACTTGGGTGATCTTGATGGTGTTGTCCTCTGTGGTGGTTATTTGGTCCTTAATTCATGACTTAACTTTTTTACACGAGATTCTTCGCATTTACATTACTGAGCGACGACTATCTATCATTGGGATCATTGCTAATTTCCATGTCCTTAGATAACACAAATTTTCTGCATGCTGTTTAGACTAGTCGCAGACTAGTTTTTCCCTATGACCCTTGTTTATACCTTACATAAAAGTTTTTTTGGTTTTTCAGCCGTGCATTCCAAAGGTTTGCTGTGAAGACATCAAAGAGGATTGAAGATATTCAAAATATCGGTAATGTTTACTTTGTGCTTAACGCTGTTTTGTTTGCTGTACTGCGCCTTTGAGTATATATCATGCTGATGGTGTTATAAAATGGTTTTTGCTTGTACAGCTGCAAAGAAGAAGGAACAACTTGCTGAGCAGATGAAGGATTTTTCAAAGAACATGGAGGATGTGAGTTTCCTTTCTTTGAAATTTTGTTCATTCAGAATCTTTGAAAACATGACATATTTTGCGTCTGATGGCATCTGCTTTTGTTCTTCCTGGCTGCAGTCATTCAAAGACCGGTGATACTTTGGTCGATGAGTCTTTCAAAGTCCGGTGATACTCGGTCAATGATGGGCGATGCTTGAGCGGTCGTAGGCCTCGTGTTGCAAACATGTGTATATCGTTACATGGAATCCTATTTCCTTCCTTTAAGAGGGGAAATAAATTTTGAGTGTTTTAAGATTTGCTTTCAAATGTACTTAGCATGTTAGTTACATAACTTACACACTTAACAAAAAAATAATGTCGTTCCAATTCTTAATCGGTGATGTTTTGCAAGACATGACGTGAAAATTTAAGATGTAAAAGCTGCATGTACGACTCACATAATATTTTTGAATTTTAGGTAGGTGTAAATTTATTTTTTTATTTATATTTGTTCTGGCAAAGATAAGTATTTTCCGTCTTGTCTAATGGATTGGTTTTTGCATCTCTTATTAGAGAAGCTCTTAGAATATTTGGGTTCATGGAGCACAACTTCTAATCTTGAAGAAATGCGACCTCAATCAAGTGTTACTAATTGCTTCAATGCTTTTAGCCAACCCTTGTTCGGCCGTGTTTATAATATAATTAAAAGCACCTCTATATCTCTAAAAGCACTTTTGACGATATCTCATTCAAAGAACTTTTGACAATATCACTAAAAGCACTTGTAATAGTATTTGGAAAAATGCGCCTGCTAACTGCATCTTCAAGAAATACATTAAGTGCCTTTTCAAGAAGTACTTTGACATTGACGTGCTAATAGATGAGCTTTTATAGGAAACGCTTGCAAAAGTGCTTTTCAAAGAAGCATTTCTAAACAGGCAAATGTTTGACAAAAACTTTGAAACTACTTTTCGATCCCATAAGCACTTTTCTTCTAGGTGCTTCTCCATCCAAGTTTTTTTTAATTCAAAATGCACAATTATTTGAACATGTTTGTGATAAGGACTTCTAACAAAAGCGATTCTAACAAGCATTTCCAAACCGGTACTCAATTGTCTATCAAAGACGTAAAGCCCATAAAAAAATTTGGGCAAAGTACAAATCCGATAAAAGAGAATAAACGACATCTGGAAGGGGTTTTAGCTTTCTTCCCCAGAAAACCGAGAAGGGTTTAGCATTCTCTCCTCTCCTCCACGATCCATGGCGTCCATCATTTCCAGAACCGTAAACCATCTCCGCCACGTCAACCGCTCAGTGATCCGATCCGGATTGCCGATTCCACGGCCACCGCTCGCCGACTGTCTCCAAAATCGGCATCTTCCACTCCTCGGACAGGTTCGTCTCCTTCAACTCTCTTCTGCTAATACTCCGTTTGACTCTAGAGAAAAAGCAAGTAAAGATTCAAGATTTCGCGTTATTTATTTCCCTTTTGTTTCTCTGCATCCAAACAGCTCGAGCTTATTTCATTTTCTGTATTTTTTTTGTATTCGATTGGACCGCAGTCGTTGACGATTTATCAAAGATGTCTTTTTTCGACGACACCCAATACTACGACGGAAAATCAAAGAAACCCAGAACCCAAAACCACGGAAAATGAAAATTCTGGTAATTCTGGTAAATCTGGTGAATCTGGTGAAGGGAGCAAATCTGGGGAATCAAGTGAAAGTAGTAATGCTGGGAAATCTATTCGCGGAGGGGTAATCTTTACAATGGCCATATAACGATTTTTCTTAGTTATTTGAATGTGAAGATGTGATTGACATTTCGTTTGATTTTGTCGTGGTTTTGCAGCCTGTTTCGTGGTTGAGTTTTCTGCTGCTGGTGGCGACTGGAGCCGGAATTATACTCTATTACGACAAGGAAAAGAGACAACATATTGAAGGTAGACTACTATGGTGAGTTGGATGTATGTGAGTTTTGCATGTTGGGTTTGTATTCACTAGTCTGCAACTTTGTCAACGGTGAACTTTAATGTTGCCTGTGTTGTTTTTGATGCATAACGAATACCTGTCATCAAGTTTTTATGCTATGCCAAATGGATTTTCCTTTCCAAAAGAAGCTTTGTAGTTGTGTTATCAATCTACTGCCAATGCTGATATGAGGTTAAAGTAGCATTTTGTTCTGTTCTCTCTAAGAATGCTTTCAGCTTGGACTCAGAAGACGACGGTTGTGTATGTTAAAAGCTTTAAATATGTTTATGCACTTCCAGCCTTCAATAAGTATAATACATTCCCGCCAGCTTGGTCAGTTAACTTGTAGATTTAGCTGCTTAATGTTGATTTAAGTCAGGGATAAATACTCATACGGCTATATTAGGCACACAATACATGACTAAGCACACCCATGTCACCTATTAAATATGTCTTTTTGACTGAGTACTTCACTTTGTATTCTTGTTCATTTCAAATATTTATGTCCGGTTAAATTCAGTGTAGAGTAAAATGTGATTAATGTTGTATCAACTCATTGCTTCTCTCTTTTTCTCATAAGGCATCAAAACTCAATGCTTGTGTTTTCTCTTCTTTACTTCTTTTAAAATGACTTTTGTTCTATTAATTGACATTTGTTTTTCTGCAGAAATATTTAAAGCGTCAAAGGAAGTAAAGCAGGGACCATCTGTGGGAAAAGCTGCCATTGGGGGTCCATTCAATCTTATCAACCATGATGGGAAGCGAGTAACTGAAAAGGATTTTTTGGGGAAATGGACATTGATGTACTTTGGTTTCACTCACTGCCCTGATATCTGCCCAGATGAGTTAGTAAAGCTAGCTGCTGCAGTTGATAAATTACGTAAGTCTTGCGTTTTTACGAGGGTCTACCCTTTTTTTTATTCTCGCAGATAGTGCAAATCATAAAATCTCAATAGGCTTGATCTCTAGCTTTTATTCTCTGTATTCTCAAGCATGTGATGCCTGAAATTTTTTATGGTCTGTTGCATGAGTTCAGAGAAAGATGCAGGGATTGAGATAGTACCCCTGTTCATATCCGTTGATCCTGAAAGAGATACCATTGAGCAAGTCCGTGAATATGTGAAAGGTACATCTCAAGATTTTAGTGTGCACCATAGAGCTAGTAAGAATGACCATACACAACATAATGTAAGTTCTTACCTGATGTTTTCTCAACTGTCTCAGAGTTTCATCCAAAGCTGATTGGCTTAACTGGTAAGCCGGATGAGATACGGAGTGTTGCTCGTGCATATCATGTGTACTATATGAAGACAACAGAAGAAGATTCAGATTATCTTGTGGATCATTCCATAGTCATGTATGTATCAACATTTTCTCGAGTTGAAATTGAACAATTAGTTGTTTGTGTCCTTCCGATATTGAAATCAATGATTATTTTGTGCAGGTACTTGATGAGCCCTGAGATGGAATTTGTGAAATTTTTCGGGAAGAACAATGATGTCGATTCACTTGCTGACGGTATAACAAAAGAGATAAAGCAGCACAAAAAGTAGTGAATTAGTTTTCCTTTCATTGCAAGTGAATAACATTTGTATGGTTACTTTTCAAAGTTACCTTATGAGGCGAAAGCTCGTTCCTTGTTTTCCTTTTTTTGATAGTTGCCGTTATCTAAGTTGAGAGAATGTAACGAGGCGATTATATTTGAAAAACTGACTTCATTTTTCAATCCAAGACATTTCATGGAGTGACAATTTTCATTGAAGTTATCCGAATTTCAGATTTTACTTGTGTTATGTTTGCATTGCTCTGGCTGCTGCGGTAGGATTCTGCCAGTGGCATTATTTGATTTGTTCACTTGTATAGCTAGTATTGGTCAGTTACTAATGGTTGTTGTTATTGCCACTTAGTACTACGGTTTAGTGGTATTCTTTTATTTTTAAGTGACTGGTCTTAGGTTCGATTCTCGCCAAAAGCGAATTGGAATCACATTATTGCTAGCCCATTGTGAGACTAAGCCCGCTTTCACTATAACATGAGTATAAAAATTCACTTTTTAACACTCTCGTGTGTTTAGTAACATATATGGAATTAGAAAGTGCAATTTTCCCGTTGAAATTTGTAATCAAATACTTTAACAACGAATCAAATACTTAATAACGAATCAATCATGAAGCCATTCAGGCCGGATTGTTCATGGTGCTGAATGATGCCCTCATGAGTCATGTCCCTATTCCATCACCAGTCAATCAAATCCGACCATGATACGATGAGTGCTGTAGAACAATGAAGCATATCGACAGCTAGCGCTGTACTGTGAAGTTACAAGAGCGCAAGGCTGAGTTTGTAAGCATGTGATGCAGTATATTAGCAAAACCGAGTCATAACTCGAAACAAAGCGAGATTTTCCTTCTTGCCATAGATAAGCCTTTGTACGGCGACATCTTACATGGTTTTACATAAAACTAACTGCGACAGTAGAGTATCTAGGTAACATGGAAGCTAATTATTAAACTACCCCTAATTACTTGGGTACAAAAACCACTTCTTATTTAACTAAGGCTATTATAGTCGCGTTTTCTCGCTGTTTGTACTTTTTGATTGAGCATATACATGTCCACCTCAATTCTCGACCCAGTTTGCCTTGTGTTTGCGCTTCTTCTCCGGTGCCTGTCATCTCAGTTTCCATGATTATCATACTTTCACAGAGGTACGGGGCATAGATGCAACTTCCTCACCTGAAAAAATGTGTTTCTGTAAGATTTCCTACCAAAATACCTATTATTTGAACAAGAATCGCTATCCAGTCCTACCTCCGGTATCAGATTACTCTTCAAGAAGGGGTTAAAGTTGCACATGCCTTTGGGATTCACCTGTCGACTTCTTTTGGGATAATGGCCTTGCCGAGATAGACCTGTTGCATCTCGTCTCTCCAAATCTGCAAGCACAGTGATTGGTATATCTCTTTGTTCTTTCAGTCTTCCCCAAGGCTTGTGTGTGCGGGTGTGTGTGTGTGTGTGTGTGTGTGTGTGTGTGAGAGAGAGAGAGAGAGAGATGAAGCATAGAACAAGCATGACTGGAAATCTCAGAGAAAGTTCCACACCGTGTCACGAAATTCCACCCGGATATGAGGCACATTTGTTCTGTGGATATCATTTCCATCTGGTCCTCTCTTGTAGTACTCTCTGCCTATCCAGTGCGACTGCACCACAAAATTTGATGACTTAAGTTCGACATTAGAGGAACAAATCGGAAATATCAGAGAAATCGTAGAAATAAAAACTTACCAAAAACCGAGTGCAGATTGGGGAAACTAATATAAACGTGGTTCATATTTTAAAGAAATCAACTGTACACTCGATTCTAGTATATAGCTAGATGCGGGAACCATAGATTATGTACTTCAGTAACGCAGTAACTTACCTTCAGTGCATGTGAAAAACCTGATTGGTAGACTGAATTACGGGCAATTTCACATAGATCACATGAGCTCAATTTCCATACCTGTGTAAAGGAAGGACTTATAAATAATTGGGTCTTTAATACCTTGAGAGAGAGAGAGAGAGAGAGAGAGAGAGAGAGAGCTTACAGAAGCAGCTATACTATATTCTTCCACCAAAGGTTCTTTTGTTAAGTGGATTTGGAGAGGATCATCGGTGGAAAGAGAAACATTAAGACCCCGTAAGAAAAACACAGGAAAAGGGTTCCGATGGTAGTCCAAAAACAATGAATTGTTGCTCAGAGGTGACATAGCCAGACCAATCTGATGAGACAAACAACACATGGTAGCCAATAAAAAATTGCAAAAGATAAGTCATTTATATAAAATATGAAAATTTTCCTTACCTGGGATAAATAATATAGATATTGAAGTACAGGAGATTTTCTCAAATTGATTCCATGTGCAATATTAGTTGCGGTAAGAAAGGTTGCAGCAAGGTGGTCAATGTCACCAGCCTGAAAAATATTGAATAAGTGACTTCGCATTATGTAATACTTGTGATCAAATAGAAAATATATCTTTTAATAAATACCTCCCCAGAATGTGGACGGAGATTGATTGTCGTCAAGCCCTTAGATTCACGAAGCTGAAAACAAAAATCCAACAGCTCAGCACCTAATGCCAATTCATGACAAACTTACATGGTGTCACAATTACAAAGACTAAAAAAACGAGTTAAGCAACCACTAAACATTGTAAAGATACCTCAAAATATGTGAGTAAATAACAACCAAAGTTCGTGGAATCTAAGCCCTGGTGTTGCAACCAAAGCAAACGAGACTGACAACATTGGAAAAAGAAAAGCAAAGAAGGATTCCCAAGAAGCTATGCTACTCTAGTCACAAAGCTGCTCAAACTTGTATGGGGAATAGAATTTAGGTAATAGAACACATAGTATGGCATAAAAATCTTTGGACTGCAGAACATGTACCTTGTTTAATGTGTAGAGATTAGCATAACAATAGTACACGTAGTATGAAAATGCGGGATTGAATACATTGGTCCATTGTGCTGGTGTTGGCATGTGTTTCGTGGGGCGTCTTTCAGGTTTGCTTTCGTCATCCACCAAATCTAATCCCACAACCTGGAAGATCAAACATGTTTAACTCAAGCATTTATTTTGGAAATAGATAAATGCTTCAAAAACATGAAACGCACACACGATACAGAGAGAGAGAGAGAGAGAGAGAGAGAGAGAGAGAGAGAGAGAGAGATGTTTCAGGGGAAAAATTGTACAATTTGACAAGATGCAAACCTGTTTCAGGAAAACGTGCAACTGTGGATGGGAATCTGGATCTACAGTAACCTCAAACAGTGGAATAAAGATATTGTCAAGAATGTTCTGAAATGATGTTACTATTCCCATTTCCTTATATATATTGTACAGCCGGGGCAGCTGAAAGAAGGAGGAAAATACAAGAACCATAAGTATGAGTAGCATTCAAGACTTTTAAAAAAGTGCTTAAGTGGAACAGTACCATACAATCCCAAGATTCTTATAAATGTCACAGCGAACTGCGAATTTTGTGTTTACCTGAATCAACCAAACAACATTCTCACTGTACAATTCATTGTTCACTATCCAACTAGCCATTTGGTCCCACTCACTCTGCTTCCTACCATATATCGATACCCTGTACTCAGCCATCTGCACAAGAAATATGGAACATCAGGCGAGGTTGATCTATCCAAACATGCAGAAAGATAACATAGACACACGATAATGAGAGAGAAGGTAGAGGAAGTGGCATTGGTTCCATATCAATGACATTGAACTTCAGGCATGGCAACGGAATGATAACTCAGAAACCTAAATCTTATCGACATATGCCTATGGTTAAATGAATTTATATATAACTCATTGGGGAATCAAGAAATCACACAATTAAAAATGCCACCAGAATGTAGAGTATTAATCTCATCTTAACAAGCATACTTGCAAAACAATTACAAAGAGAAGATAGAAACTAGAACAAGTAAAAACTATCTGCATACTGGAGCAAGGAAGCACCTGATATTTACTGGCAGCAAGATCAGAAAACACTTGTTTTGTCAGCTCAGCAAGGAAACGTCCTATTCAAGAAGAGATTATCAAATCTGACACTTCATACATTGATCAACGACTAAAAAACTAAGCTTCATCAAAATTGACTGAAGTGGATAGAAACAACTATTCAAGCCCATGGCTTAAGAATCTAATTCTTTACTATCACCCAGTAACCTTAAAATAGTTGAGAAAACAAAAAACTATACCTTGAATAAGATTATCCTGCTTAAGGAAAATCTCCCGGAGCCTACTTTGACCACAGGGGTTGTACTTAAGATTAAACTTATCAAAACGATGAAATGTGCTCTTGTCAGCATGAACATCCAAAAGGTCAACATTTAGGTCGTACCTGTTGAAACAAATGCGAACAGATATTACATCCCATAGCTTAAAATATACAATAGAAATACATGAACAAGGATTGATAGTAAGACTCGAAATGCATCTTTTTATTAATTCAAATAGGCAAAAGGATACCCAGTCAAATCCAAACTCTCAAAAACCTCTTTCAAGGTCAAATAGGTTCCATCTCTAAATATTACAACCTGACAAGAAGCACAAAACATGAGGTATTAGCGAAAATCATGCAATAACCATAACCAACATTATAATAAATCTCATTGAAACCAACAGTTGAGTGACCATATGCATAGCACCTTACAAACTTGATAGTTTGGAATGATTATCCACACTTGACAGAAATAAATGGAAGAAAAAAATAGAAAATCACTCGACAACATATCTGCATAATGATTTCAAATTACCTCATCAGGCTCCTTCCTCAACTTTGATTTTATAAACCTCAAAAGATGTTTCTGGTTCATGCATGCTGAGTGATGAACATGTGTATCTACTTTTCTTACATTATAAAAGTCACGATGCGGAGCACTCTTCTGAGCCAGAAACTCCCTATCCGCATTAAGCATTAAGTGAAGATTGAATTTCTGAATGATAGACAAATAAGAACATTGTTGAACAACTATTACTACTCCAGCATAGAAAGTTCATTGGAAGGAGTCTTAATGACTAATAAGTATTAATTATCAACACAAGTCTGTTTACTTGTTCCAGAAGATTCAGCCGATGATGGCATAAAGTTCTGATATTCCCTGCTGCTGTAACTCGGAGTATGTGATGTAGGTCAGTGAAAAAGGTTGTTGCATCAGCAACAGGAAAAAGTTCTTCTTTTGCTGCAAAAGAGGGAGGGTATCAAGATCTCTACATAGGAAATTCATCAAAAAGAACACTGCAAATGAATAAAAATGCCTCAGATATGACAAACAAAAGACGATACACAAAAACAGCCACTTACAATCTTTATTTGGATACACACGAACAACCCCGTCTTGCATTTCGAAATAATGCTGCCGAATAAAGAAGAATGTTAATTGGACAACAGAAGAACACAGGTTTCCTGAGTTATAGCTTATAGACTAAATTAACAAGTAAAAACTCACATCAGACTTCGCCTCAGAAGTATAAGAAAATGGAGCTGGGTTAGGTTTTGGGGTACTGGGGTCTGATATAATTTCCTTCTCCCACGGAGCAACTGTCTCGGTGAATAAATATCTTGTTCGCAATTCAAGGCATTCTTGAAGAACCACGTAGACCTCCGCTTCATCGCTAGATGGCACTTCTGAAAAAATTATAGACAAAGATAGAACCATGAAGATGAGATCCTAACTCCCCAGTTTCAATATTACAATTTGCAATCAGCTTTTTAAAACTAGTTAAAAAACGCAATCAGTAACTCATTAAAACCAACAAATAGGAAGCACAAATATGGTGAACATGGGAAGTTGAAAGAACATTGTTCAGATTTTGACCATGAGTATTTGTACAACCAGAATATGTGTGCTTCTTCAAACTGATATTAAATTTAACAGAATTAATATATTACTAGCATTAATATATGAATGTTTTGACACCCATTTTGTAGGGCACACTTCATAATATATTTCAATGATCCAAACCGCCTATACTTTAGTACATTATTCATAGATCATCCTTGCAAAATATAGAGAAATCAAAAACCATTAAGACATTCATTTGTAGTGAAGAAAATGGACAAATATGGTTCAACAAAGAAACACTGATTTAATCCAACAGTCATATGGTTTCGGATTTGGGTGATTTTGAGTAGACATGATCTTTGAGGTAAGACATAAAAGGTAGGAGGTTGGATCGTTGAAATACATTATCTTTGGGCCCCACAAAAACGTGTGTCAAAGGCATGTGTCCCCTGGATCCTAACACTATATATATATATATGATTATTTGCATTAGTATCTATTTAATGAGCAGCGAAAAGTCATGTTCAATCATATACAGCAGGTCTATCCAAAACACTTCACGGGTACACATCTTTGTAAATATATGCACGAAATAAATAAACAAACAAATCAACCAAAAATGTGTACGTCTAGGGACGAGAGAGTTCATACCCGTTGGAGTAATGTTCAGTCGTGCAAAAGTCTCTTGTTCTGGCTCTTTCCTTAGGATATCAGCTGCAATTGGATCAGGCTGGACACCATGCAGGTCACCAGATACACTATGGGACCTAATCATACTTGAAGGAGCTATAGGTATTTGTTCTCCATTGGCATTAACATGGTTCGGTAAATTTTCATATATTATCTTACCATCGGGCCCCTGCAAGTGATGTCAAAATAGTCCAAAAGATCCGTAAGAAAGTTTAGAGAATAACAGAAATCAACATAAATATTTCGCCTGAAAAATAAACTTTCGCTGGATTGTGTGATAATGATGTGTGGCCCCATGTCAATATAGAGCAAGTAAGATTATGGACGCTTGCACCATATCTGACAGACACAATGCACAGAAGCTGAATAAACTCACTACAGTGCCAAGTTTAGAATTGTCAGTCATGTTGTCTTCATCATCTGATCCTTCCACACTCTCAAAGGCACTTGCACTTGCAACTGGAGACTTGGGAGAAGTTGGTCGGATAAGACTACCGGTTCTCTTAACTGAGTTCGCAAGCTCAGTAGATTTCCCTGAAAAAGAAGAACTCTGTACTTAAACAGAATAGAAAACTGGCACCTATCTCATTGGTTTGTTCATAACAACAATTTGAGGATGACAGAAAGTAACCTTGAGATCTTACTCAAAGGCAAGAAATCAAATCAGAGGTTAAATGAAAACACATGAAACACTGGGCTTTAAACACTTCATATTATACCCCGTCCTGGTAACAATATCAAGCATAAACAAATTTACATCGTAAAAGAAAATATCTCCTTACTACTTGCATGAATTTCATACTAAGTTCTTTGCCATCATGTCCCAGCCAATAGTGCCACCTTAAGGTGTGCAAAGATGAAATTTAAAATCCATTTGCCGGTCTGCACATGGATAACATATGCTTGAAAACTTTGTCACATCGCATTTGTTTTGTGTATAGCTAATTTGTCTCATCGGATTTGTGTTGTATATAGTAAATTTGTCGCACTGATCTGTGTCGTGCATATTGTAGTATTTTCCTTGTCGTCATTCGACAGTTAAAGATTTGCACAATCACAACATACCATCAATTCCTTTTCTTTGTTTCTTTCTTCATGGCTTATTCAAGTAATTCGGCGGTGGCTTTCAACAACGAAGTTCTCAGACCAAGGGACACGAAGTTTTAGTTTTTTTTGTTTTATTCATTGCTTAGGCTCAAGAAAAGAGAAGTAAATGAGTGTCCTTCCTATGCTTCTCCACATAAAGATACACCATTTATGGGAAAACCTATTAGCATTTCTATTAGTACAAAAATTATATTACCAAATACCAACACACAGTAATTTAGAAGGAGTAATTAAGGCATTGATAATCTAATGAAAAACTACATCACAAGTCTAAGTGATGAAGCCAGTCCAAACACGACGTCGTACCGTTACTGCTATACGTATCAAATTGAAAGTCAGAAATTAAAGCGAAATTGATCACTCTGGTGTCAAGTTCAGTGGAGCATACCTTCCGGGAGAGTGTGCAGCCTCGGCAAACCGGCCGGAATACCGTCGACGGGTAGAAATCCGTTGCGCCTATGATCATCACCATCAATCCCTCCAGAAATCGCCGTCACGTCCGGTAAAGACGCCGCGTTCCGCCGGTAATACCCGTTGCCCTTGCGCCGCGCGTGACTCCTACTCTTCTTCATGTTCTGCGGCGAGTCGCCGCCGTCGGAGTCGCCCTCCCTCTCCTTCTCCACCGTCTTGGCGAACTCCAAAAGCTGAGTTAGGGTCTTGCGGTGCATGTAGTAGGCCGACACAGCCACCACCGAAGCTCCAACCAGAGCCGCCATGGCCAAATGTAGCGCGTACGACTCCATATCTCTCGCTCACACTTCCGTCCTGCCGAGGACAGGGAATCAGGAGAGAGAAAATGTCGGTCCGATTGGATTGTGCGAGTTCTAGAGAGAGAAAAAAAAAACCCTACTGAAAGAGCTGAGGCGAGCAGAGAGAGAGAACAGGGATAGTGCACTCTGTTTGTATTCGGGACAAGCTAGAGTTGCGTCAGTATTTATGAGAGAAGGTGAGAGGAGAAGAGGACATATTCCCTCTGTTGTTTTTAATTAATCGGCGGTGATAGTGTTAGTAGAAAGTTTATTTAAATAATCAGGAAAACGTTGAGTGCCTTGCTGCTTTTTATCGCCGCTTTTGCAGATTAATTTTAAATAGTTATTATTTGGTTTTTGTTTATTTGCTTGTTGCCAAAAGTTCAAATCTGAGTTTTTTTTAAAAGAAAATTAATGAAAATGATTTGAATTTTTTGAGTTTTAACGATAAGGACAAAATAAAGGGTAAAGTAAATAGTACAAGGATTGACTTTTTAGTGTAAAAATGTGGTTTTTTCGTTAAAGTGAACAGTACCGAAAGTTTTTCGTTAAAGTTCATCTTTTTTAATTAAATGATGTATTTACAAAAAATGATGCGGATTTAGGTTAACTATAAAATAGTTTGATTATAATAATTTGGTATCGAAATTGTATGTTAAACTAAGAACGATCAATCGAAGGTGAAGAAAAATATTATTGCAATGTGGCCATAAATCTAAGATCTCCGCTTTGACTTGAGCGTAGGAAAATTGATTAAAACAAAGCATCCATCTTCTATACCTTCTTATCTCGTAATTTAGATAAATTTATTATCATTAGTGTAGCGATAGGATGGCCTTATAATAGGTTAAGAATAATATGAATTGAATTCATTTTTTACGAGAACCATACATAAAATCTATCTCCTATAGATAAATAAGAATACTAATAAACCTTAATACAGAAAAACAATGGTAAATTAAAAATAGGGTTAAGCGGTCGGTGTTGATTACTTGTTTTGTTTGTATGTGTAATGTTGGATTTATTAATTGAGAGTGGGGTGGGGCCGGGGTCCAACCAATGTGGGTTTTGATAGGTAGACAGAGCAGATCAGCATTTCGTGTACAAGGGAGAGTGGATTGTTGAGTCACTTTCATTATCCATATGAATATTTTGAGATGCCACATACGCTCGTTGGGGGATTTTCTGGCCACATGTTAAAAGAGGAAACAAAAGTTCATTCATTTGTGTTCCATTTTAAGCAAGTTATTATGCTCTGAGAAACCCGCTTAAAACCTGTTTTTTTATAAGAAAATTAACGAAAAGTTTGAAAAAAAAAATTTAGTTTTAATGAAAAATGACAAATAAATGTGTAGTGAAAGGTAAAAATATGATTTTTCGTTAAAAATGAACAGTACTTGTAGTGCTTCGTTAAAACTTCTTTTTTTTTCTTAGTATTTTCAAGTAATGTTTTAATGTGATTGTCACGTCGCTACACATTATTAGTTTATTAATTTTTTTAGTGTAACGTCACATCGTTATATATTTCTGTTAATTTATTTATACCATAACACGTAAGTCAGTAGCATTATAATTTTTTCGTTCTTTTTCTTTTGGGATTTGGCTACAATACACAAATACACAGTATTATAATCATCTACTGGTCAAATATATTGTAATAACATTCGAGGAGTATATTGACCGTCAGATGATAATACTGTTAGGTACTTATGTCATTTTGATGTTTGGATTATTAGCCCTTTCTGTAAAAATAAAAAAAATAAAAAAAAAAAGGGCACGTTAAGCAGGGATGAAAAGGATGGAACTCATTTAGGGCAAATATATGATGAAAACGGCAGAACTTAATTAGTTGTAAAGCCTATGGTTATTGAACAAAATAAATTGGAGTTAGCTATTAAATTTAATGCGCCATGTCTTTGGTCGTTAGATTATGAGAATAGTTGAGATATAGCAAAATGCAGATAAATGCACGAAACTTATATGTAGAGACTCATGATCCTTTTTTCTTTTTTTTTTTTCTAGCTTTGAATTGTGAAGAAGGAAAATGGAAAATAAATATAAAAAAATGAGATTTTGTATCCCAAATTAAAGTAATGATTTAGTACATCGATATTTTTACACTAAGGGAAGGAGAGTTCAACTCAGTCATACAATAGGCAGCCTAATTTGATATCAAATTTGCCATCCACGAGATTCGAACCTAAAACCTCTCACTTCTAAGCAAAGTGGAATACCACCAGACCATAGTACTAAGTGGCATCTATTGATAAACTGATTTGGTTTGAGGAGCATCTATTGATAAACTAATTTTGTGAAGTTATAAGTTTTTCATAAACTGATTTAGTTTGAGGAGCATCTATTGATTTGGTTTTACGAAACTTCAGATGCAATCATAGATCTTATCTTGAGGATAATACAACTTTGTAATTTGTTGGTGTGGGACGCTCTTTTTTTCTTTGATCGGGTTGAAATCATGACAAGATTTTTATCGAGGTTCATTTAAATGTACTCTGTCATCCAATATGTATGTATTATTTTCAACGTATCAATGAATATCCTACTTGCTCTAAATAAAAAAAGTTATTAATACATTAGTATCCCTTAAGCTTAGACTTAGTCTCACATAGACAATAGCCCATCTTGGATAATCGATTCATTGATGTGATCGTATTAGGCGATTAATGTGACAGCTCGTCCCGGATTTTTCGTACCGTAGGGGTAAAACGACGGTTTTGCCCATAGTGTTTTGTTTCGTTGTTTGGTCATTTTGGAGTTTTGGTTGGTTGCTTTTTGGACCACACACACACATCCACACTCATCCTCATCATTTCCCTGTCCCGTATCCATGTCTCTCTCTCCCTTTCCTTTCTTCTTTGTACGGACAAGATCAAACCCTTTGAAAACGTGGTAGATCGAGGAAGAAAACCATACCTTTGTGTTTGTGAGCTTCATATGAGTTCAACTATACCCATTTCAGGTGAGGAAACCCTTGTTTTCACGTCGAACTCGAGATCCCCGATTTGGTCACTGTTCATGCACACGTAAAATCATGTGTTTTTGGGAATTTCAGGCTTGTAGGAAGCTTGGTGAGGTCCTTTGGAAGCTCGGGGTGGTTCGTTTAAAGGTTTTGGACGTGGGGATCGTGAGTTGCAAGTTTGGTCGGATTTTGTGGAATTTGTTCGGGGAGATTCCGTTGGTTTTAGTGCTTGAAAGTGGTAAGGTTTTGTTCCTCTTGTTGTAAGCTTCATTTTGGTACCAATTTCATGAAATTTGGGTGAAAAACGAGTGAGAAATTAAGTTTGGAAAATTTCCCAGTTTTCTGGCGATGGCGACGGCGCCGGAGGTTGGCCGGAGAAGACGACGAAATATTCCGTCAGTTTGGACAGAATATTCCTAACGGCGTAGGTTAACTTTAACGAAATCTATCAGAGATAACGGAATATTCCTGACGACGTTAACTGACGCCGTCAGTGTGCCAGGCATGTGCTTGAGCGTGGGTGGCGTGTGTGGCCGTACCTTGCCCGGCACGTGGGGGAGCATGCGACGTCGGAAAATTATTTTAAAAATATGGGGATGTTCGTGAGGTTGAGTAGATCACGTTGGTGTATTCATACACCCCATTTGAGCATTTTATGAGAAGTTATTCCTTAGTTTGGGCTATGTGTTTTAAATTAACGTTTTTATAGTTATTTCACATATATGTGAGACCTATCCCGAGGACGAGCGCAGTCACTCGAGGCAAGGGGATTACGACCCTTCTACATACCAGTGAGTGGACTTTTGGTTTTCCGTATATACCTATATACTTGTGATTTTCCCAGAAAATGAAATGAAACTTTTATATGTTTTAAATGCCATGCATTGCATTTGCCTATTTAATTATGCATTAGTAGTTGCATATATATATATATATGTTTGGTGCTGCGGACGCACAAGTAAGTGCCAGGTAAGTTATGGTTTATGTTTGTGATTAGTAGTGATATGAAATGCATAGAGAGCTCATAACCTGCACCCCCGGTGTTAGTGCTCCCACCCAGAGTAGGGCACAGTCCTTCACGTGATGTTCACCTCCCGCACCACACGCTCATCTTGGATCCAAGTTAGGTGCACAGTTCTGTCGTACAGACCACTTTAGGTGGTTCCGACTCGTAGGTGACCCGCGATTATTCGACCAGTCTTCACATGATCGTAGCACTTGAGCGTAGTTATTACACCCAGTCCTGTCGTACAGACCACTTTAAGTGGTTCCGACTCGTGTGCAGGTATAGTTAGTGAGTTGGGGATTTGAGCTCTAGATTCAGCCGTACAGGTCACGTTAGGTGACTTCGGTTGATAGATTACATGGCATTAATTGACATTACCTGAGTACTTACATTTTTATGTAGAGGCATTCGACATGGCATATTTCTGAGCATGTTTTATATATATGTGTATATTCTATTTTCTGGAAAACTATACAGGTTTTACGGCGAGGGGTTAGAACTTTTGTTATTGAAATGGTTTTGAAAAGCTTTGTTTTTGCCCACTCACGCTTTCTATTTTGCGCCCCTCCAGGTTCTAGTTTGGATAGCTCTTTTGGTGGCTCTCGAGGGATTCACGGCATATCTAACAGATTATCACCAGTGTAGGACCACCTCTAGGTGTGTTTATTTAGTGTTTGTTTCCCCCGGACTGCACTAGGTCTTCCGTGCTCTGAATATTATTTTTTCACACTTACACTTGCACATGTATGTTATCTACTCAATGTATAGCTTGGTTTTTATTTATTCGTACTTTATTACTATTCTTAGCTTTCGCACTATGTACATGGTTATATCACATTCACGTAACGGCCAGCATGCCCTGATCTCGATCGGGATGTGTCAATTAACACTATTTCCAGTCATTTTCTCAAGGGTAAATTACATTTTCATACCTCAGGTTTGGGGTCTATTTCAATTCATTACAACATCTTTAAAACATTTCACTTTTGTACTTTAACTACTATTTTATTTCAAAATAATACTTCCGTTACATTTTCCATCCATGGATTTGTTAAATGCTAACGTGGCTGCCAAATGTCTGTCATGTGGCAAATAAAATAATTTTTTAATTTTTTTTTTTTAAAACCTGAATTTTCTCAAAAAAAAAAAATAATAATAATAATAATTGAAAGGGTTCCTGTGGCAAAGAAAACAATTTTATAATGTTTTTAAAAAAAAAACCCTAAA